AAACAAATAGATTACAGGGATGTTTATGCACATACAAACAAACGAAACAACTAAAGTAGATAGTGACAGATTGTATTTCCTTTCTTCTTCTTCTTCTTTTTCTTTGTTGTTGTTTCTATCATTGTTATTATCAGAAGTAGTTGTGTAGTTATATTCCTACTATTATCATTATTATTATTATGACTAAACTATACCTTCATCCTTAAACAATCAGTCAGTCAGTCAGTCAATCAATCTATTGAAGGATTAAATATGAAAATACAACAAAGCTAAATTGTATGTATGTGTAGTTCTCTTTTGGTTGAAATGTGTTCATGATAAGAAACAATATTATGAATGTTTCTAATGATGATTATCATTGTAAATTGGTCTTTAGTTCGCATGAATTGAATTATCGACAATTTTCTTCTTCTTCTCCTTCTTTTTATGTGGATAATTAAGATGAGAGTTATCTAAGTAAATATATTTTAAGATTAGATGGTGGTTGGAGGTAGTCAACAGGAAACCCTGGACCCAGGTTTCGCGCTACTTAGCACTCGTCAGTAAGGTGTACTTGTAATCTTGAGGGAACTGGTGCTCCCTGGCGGATTCGATCTCGTGTCACCCAGCTTCACAGTCAGAGACGTTACCACTGAGGTATCCGAGCCGCGATCGACCTCCTGTAAGACTGAGATGTAATCACAATTGATTGATCACTGCGTGGCGATCAATGTCATGCTCTGCAACATCATCGATAGCATTCGATCAGCACTAATAAGGACTAGACACGCATGACATTGATCGCCACCCAGTGATCCATCAATTATAAAATATATTTTAGTAATTTTAATAGTTGAGGTCATGAGTTCACTGAAGGTAGACTATCATGGAAAATATGGATGTACTGGATGACCGTTTCGTCCTATTGTAGGACTTCTTAGCAATGTGTATCCATGATCTCAACTCACGAGATTCGAACCTATCGGTCTCAAATGCAAACGCTTAATCTCTAGACCACTTAGCTACCCGACATCCAACGGTGTTAATGTCTGACTACAGCTAATCCACGAAATGAACGACACATTCACCATTGTTTTCAGTGAGTTATTATCTGACAACAGACTCGGTTGAACTCCACTGTTCACTGTTTCTCACTAGAACTTCAGGAAATACCTTATTATCTTCTCTGTATTCATTCTTACTAATGTATTTCCGTAATAGCGTCCTTTGTGTTGTACGATCTTTAAAGCATCGACGGTACCTTGATACGATGAAGGAGTAATTCATGTTAGGTGCTGACCGCCAGGTGCGATTTCGATGTTAGATAATGGTCACACCACCTCTGTCTAAGTCGAGTGGATTCCCAGTCATTCGACAGAGATCATCAACAATGATGATCTACAACTGTATGCTGTTGTAATGGATTGTAATCAATAGAGAAATCCATCGGTTGAAGGCCTTCAGAAACAAGGGAAAGGCTAAGAACCCTTCATTCAATCAAGATTCATTGGAAGCACGCTAGAAACTCTCAGAAAATTGGTAGACTATGTATTATACTATGATTGGATGATGATTTACTCTGTTGTTAAGTTGATCATTCGTGTCAAACTTTTCAAATGTAAAAGGCTACCAATAAACCTATAAGTACTTCTACTTTCTGCATGCAAATTAAGCTTAATGTAAAATTTCCTTTCTCACTACACGTCATTACCAAGTGTCTGGACACCATACTTATCAGATGTCTAACGATAGAGTTCTAGTGATATTTCTTTTCGTAACTAAATGTGTCTGCATCCATACTACTAGTTTTCATTGATACTTAAATCAGTTGAAATGGTACAATTGGGATACCGACAGAGATATTCTTTAATTTGCTAGATTAGAATAGTTATTTATTGTTTAACACGTAGCAACTAATGATTTTTGAGAATATAATTCTTCTCCAATGATTCATTAAACGAATTTATATCGACTACTATTTTTACAACGTATAGTAAGCGCTTGTAAGCAAAGATGAATGATAGACAACAATGGAGTCCAGGATGAGCGTTTCATCCTATTTGTTACTCGTCGGTTGGATGTATATTCATCTCACAGTTGATATTCACTCCTGGACTAGAACCCAGTAACGCTCGCTTCAAACGCCATCTCGTCTGCCTACTTAGCTACTGAGTCCTGATAGCCACTTCGAGTACAAAAAGGGAAAACTTATCACAAAATAGTTTTATCTATCGTTTTGTAGGTTCAAATTACGTAGGGCTTGTTCCTCTTCTTCAAGTATATTTACCCGTTATTGCTCTGTAATAAGAAAAACAGACTTGTGTTAGTAACGTCACATGTAATGATTTTTGCTACTGTTACATATTTAAGATAAGAAATTTTGAAAAGATTGGCACAACAATCTACTCTCAACCTAGGAGACTGAAACAATGGGTGGTATACTTTAAAGGATAGTTTAACTGCTCTCCAATAATCTCTATTACCAGTATACGGTTATGGAGATTATAAAGTTATTGATTGAGATCTTGAACTGATTGGTGTTAGACCACCATTGAAAACTTGGAAGCACTGAACGGTTGTAGGACTCCTCAGCAATGTGCATCCACGATCTTGCATCACGAGATTTAAACCTACGGCCTTCAGTCCGAATAGGACGAAACGGCCATCCAATGCTTTCAGATTTCCAATGGTGTTCTAATGTCAATCAGTTCAAGATCTCAATCAATAGTTTCTATTGCTTTGTTATTTATCCTGACAATTTCATTCAACTAAAGTAATTATATGGGACAACTTGAATTGATATACACATATCCCTATCACAATTGATTGATCACTGGGTGGTGATGAATGTCATGTGTGTCAAGTCCTTATTTAGTGTAAATCGAATGCTATCGACGATGTTTCAATATAGCCACCAGTCTAGGTGACTCGACACTGTTGACGACTGCCAAGTAGCACGAAACCCAAGTTAAGGGTTTCCTGTCGACTACCTCCAACCACCATCTAACACATATTCCTATATTCTACATTGTATATAACTGACTAATAATGGAATATGTAGAAATCAAAGCGTATCAATATAGCAGACTAATGAAGGAATACAATGATAATGATAATAGATAATCAATTATCAGATTATTGAATGGATAATTAGAAGATTATTATTGATTTAGACTAAATCAATACCTACATCTTTCTACTTGTTTTTTCTTCCAGTTTACCTATTGACAACAGATTAATAAACATTACAAGAAAGACTATTAAATTTCCAGATATCGATCTATTTATCGATCTATGTCGACTTCATCCTACTAATTATGACATGTATTCCTTTTTTTTGTTGTAAACGAGATCACTTGTCTCGTTTAGTCTACTCCAATGATCCATTGAATGAATATATATATCAACTACTATTTTTATAATTGATAGGTAATTATAAGCAAAGATGAGTGTATCTTTATCCTATAGTTGATATTTACTCCAGGACTCGAACTCAATACTATTCACTTTAAGCGCTATCTCATTATTCATTTAGTTACTGAGTTCTGATAGCTATTTACTTATGAAATGGGGTGAAGTCTAGATTTACTTGATATTGTTTGCTTGAATCTTCTCATTGATGTTTAGGATGTGCAATATTTTGTCCTATTTGGAACTTATCATCTGCATTATAGTAAATATCACTAAATATTCTTTAGTTCATTTACGATATTTTAATAGTTGAGATCATGAGTTAATTGAAGCTAAACCATCATGGAGAATATGGAAGTATTGGATGGCCATTTCGTCCTAATGTGGGACGCAGTGTGCATCCACGATCTCGCCCCTTGCGAGATTCGAACCTATCGGCCTCAAATGCAAACGCTTAATCTCTCAACCACTTAGCTACCCGGCATCCACCGGTGTTATTGTCTGATTTTAAATAATCCACGAAATTGAGCTACACATTCACCATTGTTTTCAGTGAGTTATTATCTGACAACAGACTCGGTTGAACTCCACTGTTCACTGCTTCTCACCAGAACTTCAGGAAATACCTCTTAATGCCAGTCACTAGTGAGTATATGTTGATTAAAATCACAAGAGATTTTGTGGATATTATATTATTTTTAATAGTTGAGATCCTGTGTTAATTGAAGCTAGGCCATCATGGAAAACATGAAAGTACTGGATGACCGTTTTGTCCTACTGCTGAACATAGTGCGTATCCATGATCTTACATCATAAGATTCAAATCCAAGACCTATGATTATCTAATTTTTCCATAATGATCTAGTTTCAATAGACTCATGATCTCAACTATAAAAATGACTATAATATCCACAAACACCCCTTTCTAATATTAAAAAAGAAAACAAACAAAGAAATTCTGGTGAAAAGTTTTATTTTCATTGATTTTTTTGTTCTAATGTTATTTGAATTGAACAATAACTGATATACACATATTCATTACACTGATGATAACAATAATAGTAGATTGGTTGAAGTTAGACATTAACACCGTTGGATGCCTGCTCAGTAGTCTAGTTGGTTAAGCACCTGGCGCGAGACTGCTAGGCCTTAGGTTCGAGTCCCACGGGGTGCGGGATCGTGGATGCGCACTGCTGAGGAGCCCCATGCTGGGACGAAACGGCCGTCCAGTGCTTCCAAGTCTTCCATGGTAGTCTAGCTTCAATTGACTCATGATTTCAACAAGTGAAATAATAGTAACATTAAATATGGATTTGTATAATCTACATTGGTTCCCTTTGTATATAATTAGGAAACTAGAATGTTATATATGATTAACAAGATAACTACTACTATATACAAATTGTACATATATCTAACTCTCTCTCTCTTACTCCAATCTAATCTTTTGTATGGTTTATGCATAAAGCATAAAGTGTGCAGGTCACGTGTCCATGTCTACTAATCAGAACAAATATGTAATCTCTAAAGGGTTTGTTTGTTGTTTTAATGATATATCATTGTTTATTATGAATACACTGTGTGTATAGAATTATGTTCAACATTCATCCTCATCTATATCCAATTGAAGAAAATAAAACAAACAATAGCAACAAGTATCCATTATTGATTGAGGTCAATCTACACAAATGATAATAATAACAATGCGAACAATTATTATTATTATTATTATTATTATTATTAGTAGTAGTAGTAGTAGTAGTAGTAGTAGTAGTCGTAGTAGTCGTAGTAGTCGTAGTAGTCGTAGTAGTAGTAGTAGTAGTAGTAGTCGTAGTAGTCGTAGTAGTAGTAGTAGTAGTAGTAGTAGTAGTAGTAGTAGTAGTAGTAGTAGTAGTAGTAGTAGTAGTAGTAGTAGTAGTCGTAGTAGTCGTAGTAGTAGTAGTAGTAGTAGTAGTAGTAGTAGTAGTAGTAGTAGTAGTCGTAGTAGTCGTAGTAGTCGTAGTAGTCGTAGTAGTAGTAGTAGTAGTAGTCGTAGTAGTAGTAGTAGTAGTAGTAGTAGTAGTAGTAGTAGTAGTAGTCGTAGTAGTCGTAGTAGTCGTAGTAGTCGTAGTAGTAGTAGTAGTAGTAGTAGTCGTAGTAGTCGTAGTAGTCGTAGTAGTCGTAGTAGTAGTAGTAGTAGTAGTCGTAGTAGTAGTAGTAGTAGTAGTAGTAGTAGTAGTAGTCGTAGTAGTCGTAGTAGTCGTAGTAGTCGTAGTAGTAGTAGTAGTAGTAGTAGTCGTAGTAGTCGTAGTAGTAGTAGTAGTAGTAGTAGTAGTAGTAGTAGTAGTAGTAGTAGTAGTAGTAGTAGTAGTAGTAGTAGTAGTAGTAGTAGTAGTAGTAGTAGTAGTAGTAGTAGTAGTAGTAGTAGTAGTAGTCGTAGTAGTCGTAGTAGTCGTAGTAGTCGTAGTAGTCGTAGTAGTCGTAGTAGTCGTAGTAGTCGTAGTAGTAGTAGTAGTAGTAGTAGTAGTAGTAGTAGTAGTAGTAGTAGTAGTAGTAGTAGTCGTAGTAGTCGTAGTAGTCGTAGTAGTAGTAGTAGTAGTAGTAGTAGTAGTAGTAATAATAATAATAATAATAATAATAATAGTATTTGGGCCCTAATATCAAATTAAGGTTTTTTTATATTTTAGTGCAAAGGTTAATCATATTTATGTAATTGAATCATTTATCCATTTCTTTCTTTTGTTTGTTTAAATATACCACTCTCTTTCCCTCATCTCATTGTTCTTATTTGCTATCAGTTATAGACAGACTGTTATATGAATGTGTGCAGGGTAAATTTGCACACTGGAAATAAAAAGTATTGATGAAAGGGGGAAATAGAGAGAGAGAGAGAGGGGTGTGTGTAAAAGATGGTTGTGTTTATCACACACTATGTATCTATGTACACTTGAATTTTCCTTTATTTTTTTTATTATTTTTTTTTGTGATGTCTGTCTATTGGTATTAGAGAAATAGAAACTTTTGTGTTTGATTTATACTCGTGTGTATGTGCTGTTTTATCGTTGGTTAATTCGTTATAAAAAGTGCAATTTGTTATACTCTCTAATCTCTAATGTTGTGGTTAATTTCTTCTTCTTCTTCTTCTTCTTCTTCTTCTTCTTCTTCTTCTTCTTCTAATGAATGATATGGTTTTTGTTAACTTATACAGTAGTTTATTCTCTAAACATTGACCTTGTAGATAATTCAGTCAAAGGGATGAAGTAATAAGAATATGAAAGTATAGAATGAATGAATGAATGGTCTATGAATGTGTGTAAACTAAATGAAACCAATCTAATTTCACAATTATTCATAATTATTATCAACATTAGATTTCACTGGTGCTTCTGTTGTTGTTGGTTGTTGTTGTTGTTGTTGTTCTTGTAGAGGAATCAAAAAGGTGTGTCCTCTTAGAACTATATTCACTACCCATAAGGATAACACTAGTTATTACATTACCCCAGCTAGTTTACAATGTCTATTCATATGTATTATTATCATTATAGTTAATACAATGACAAGCATAATACATTATAATGAATCATAACAATACGAATAAATAGAACAATTAACATTCAATTGTTTCAAACTGTTTAAGGAAAAAAACGTAAGTAAGTAAGTTACATGTTTATTTATTCTATTTTATATGAATGAATTAATCAATCTAAACGAGATCATTTTTTTGTATTGAATGATCATTTTGTCTAAGGATGGATCAAAGTTAAATATGGATATCATTGGATTCTAGTTGATTCAATGGTTTAGAGGTTAAGTGTTCGCACGTACGCTCGCGCGCGAAGATCTTATGTTTGAATCGCATGTGCGGAGTAGTAGATGAGCATTGTTAAGAAGTATCATACTAGGATTGAATGGTCGTCCATGATGGTTTAGCTTCAATGAATTCATGATCTTAACTATTGAAATAAGTTTTTGTTTTCATTTTAAATCAGTAATTCATTAGTTGTTTTTCATTCGTTACACCTCTTGTAATTATGTTAAATAAATAAAAAATGAATTTAGTGTATGATTCAGTCAACGAATTACTTTCATTAGTTATAAAATTTCTAATCTTACAACATTAGTAAATTGTTTACTGAACGGCTGTTTTATCTCAGTATAGGACTCTTCAATAGTCACAATTGATTGATCACTGGGTGGTGATCAATGCCATGCTTGTCTAGTCCTTATTAGCGCAGATTAAATGCTATCGATCATGTTGCAATGTGGCCACCAGTCTAGGTGACTCGACACTGCGGGCACTATGTATTGAGATTTAGATGGTGGTTGGAGGTAGTCAACAGGAAACCCTGGACCCGAGTTTCGTGCTACTTGGTACTCGTCAGCAAGGTGTACCTGTAATCTTGAGGGAACTGGTGCTCCCTGGCGGATTCGATCTCGTGTCACCCAGCTTCACAGTCAGAGACGTTACCACTGAGCTATCCGAGCCGTGACTAACCCCCTGTAGGACTGAGATGTAATCACAATTGATTGATCACTAGGCGGTGATCAATCTCATGCTTGTCTAGTCCAGGGTCCAAGGTTTCCTGTTGACTACCTCCAACCACTCTTCAATAGTGCACACCTATGATCCCGGGTTTACCCCCCGCTCCCATGTGAGGGATTATGGACGAGCATTGTTGAGAAGTCTCATAATAGGACGAAATGTTTATCCAGTGTTTGCAGGTTTTCAATAGTGCCCTAACATCAATCAATTCATGATACTTGCGTTAGTTACCAACTAAACGTATACAATATAAATATGATTAAATTCTCATTTTTAGTAACATCTGATAATTTCAGCAGATTGATGTTTAGCATTGTAACTGATCAGTCTCTGTTATTGGCATGTATGTATCCTGTACAGATTGCCTTGATATAAGATGCAATACACGTCCTGGATTCTATTACTAGTCACTATCCATCTTTACTTATAACATTATCATTATTAAAGTACTAATTTTAAGGTGATTAAATATTTAATCAGATCAATTAAGTACTTAGAATCATAGTTACCCTTATACAAATAATCCTTGTCCATTACTCTGAAGGTTTTAATTCTCGTTCATCTTAAACATCAGTCGTTGCTTCAGTTTAATGATGATCGATTTGTAAGAAGAGTTATTAATTGTATTCAAAACAGACTCAAATATATCAGTTTGTTACTATGCAATTAATATAAGTATTTTTTTCTTATTCAAACCTTACTCATTTGATCATCTTTAACACCATTACATAATATCATTCCTTTTATACAGTAACAAATGGTTAGATTACTTTAATAGTTGAATTCATGAGTCATTTGGAGTTAGACCATCATGAGGAACCTGAAAGCATTGGACGACCGTTTTATCAGAATATAGGACTCCTTAGCAGTGTTCATCTACGATCCAGACCAGCGAGATTTGAACCTAGGACCTAATAGTGTCGCAAGCGAACGATTAATCTCTAGATTACTATTATCAAATATATATATGGTATGGATGATGTATGAATTTTATACTGATCTTGAACTAGACTTAAATGGAAAGAATAAAGAATAAAACTATCATTATGGAGTTGTAGAGATTATTAAGATTTTGATTAAGATCATGAACCGATTGATGTTAGACCACCAACGAAAACCTTGAAACATTGGACGTTTGTAACCAGTAGAGCTAATCTGTGTTAGTTAGAGACAAGTATTTACCTCAGACAGTGGATTGATTGGAATTAAAGATTAACACTATTGGATGCTGACAGACTTAGTGGTTTAGAGGTTAAGTGTTTATGTATGAGACCAAAGATTCTGAGTTTGAACCCCATATTTAAGATTATGGATAAACACTATTAAGGAGTTCCGTACTTGGATGGAACAGCCGTTCAATACTTTCGTATTTTCAATAGTAGTCTAACATTGATCTCAATCAAGAGTAAAACTTTTAAGTTTGATTAAGATAAATGAATTCATTTGATTCTTTGATATTTCTCTCATTATTCATTCATTGAAATGAACACATATATATTGAATAGATAATAAAAGAGTATTACAGATAGATACACTTAGAAGTTATTAAGATTCCTTTGAACTTCTTTCAATAGTGACAACCATTGAGTAAAGAATCAATCAAACATATTACTTTGTATGTCTGCAATACAAGTATGTATGCGTGTATAGGTATTGAGACTAATGAATGAGGCTTATTTTGGTTCCACTTACTAGACTAGTCTCCAGGTTGTATCTTGTCATTTCTTCAGCAATTTCAATGACACTCCCAGTCTGCCATATTATACAAGCATTCCATGTACTTCAATTAATGGTCGCTCTGGCTGTTAGAAGGGGGTTGAGGCTTTTGAGTTCCGAGGGAACTCGGCTCTTATTATCAAATGTCATAATTCTTTTGAATAAAGATCTAATTTTCAGGGTAGAGTTTAAATGGTTTGAATTATTTTTCCTGGGTAATGCTGTTTTAGCTAGATAGTTTTCTACGGGATGGATCCGCTAACCCTATAACCAACCCTTCTCCTTTACTCAGGCTTCGAACCGGCATTAGTCCTAGAGGGGCTCCAGGCGGAGTTACTAGACTATTCTACCACTAATATTCTTCATTTACTTCTTATTCGTTTATTATTGTATACCATGCATATAATTCATTTTTCTTTTCACTTTATGGTTTATCATTTATGTTTTTTCATAACTAACATTGATTACCAACTATTACTTACTTACGCCTGTTACTCCTCATAGAGGAGCATAGGCCGCTCATCAGCATTCTCCATCCAATCCTGTCCTGGGAAATCGTTTCCAGCTTTTTCCAGTTGTTATTCATCCTTTTCATATCTGCTTCTATTTCCCAACGTAATGTGTTATTTGACCTTTGTATTACAAACTATGGGTGATTACTATTATTATTTAATAAGAAATCATAATTGTAAAACAAAACCCCCCTGAGTGTGACATAAGGAATGGTTTTAATGTTTCGCCCAACTATCTGCTTCAAGCTTCTTCAAGAAGATTATTATTGGATATAGTTTGTTCTCATTGATCATTTTATCATCATAACATAAAGCATAGATACATAAGAATATACAATATGATCAAATTATGTATAGTAGATATTGTTTAGTTTGTTTAAAGCTAGTTCATCTAAAGTAAATATTCAAAACAAAAAAAACACCATCGTAGAATGGGGTGGGTGGGTGGTGATAGAAAGAAAACAAGAAAAGAGAAAAAAGGGGGGTTTCTGAAAAAAAAGAAGATAAATCCGATCGAAATATTACAAAGAGAATAGGGGTAATTTAAACTTCTCAAATCATCCTACCAAACTTAGAAACAAACAAACAAACATTAGAATAAGGTTGATTATTGTTTACTTATTTATTCCTTTTATAAAACGGATGTTATACATTGACTGTATTATGTATTTAACCATGAGTTTAAAGTTATAGTAAAACACTATAGATTGAAATGAATGAAATCACTTATTTACCTTTCCTGTCCCCCCCCTCCATCCCAAAAGGATGAAAACCGGAATAAATAAGATAATCGAAAAAAACTCATTTGTCTTATCAATTTACTTTACCCAATACAACAAATATATGTGAAATAGTTGTTTAGTTGACTCTTTTATGGCGAATAATAATTCATCTATAAGGTCATTTATATCGCAGACCAGCATTCTTCAACACATTCACATTGTACTGGGCCTTCCTTTCTAGTTCTATCCAATTTTTATTCATTCTTCTCATGTCTGTCTTCATTCCTCGATGAAATGTATTCTTTAGTCTTTTTCTTTTACTTCAGCGTTGAGGATTCCAAGTGAAGGCTTGTCTTGTGACACCTGAAGACCCTTTGGGGCTACTTGCCGGTCTTAAGCGCGGACAAAAGAGGAAGGTTGGGCATAGAGTTAGCAACTCAATCCTTTAGAAAACTAACTCACGAGAGAAAAGCTAACGAGAAAAATAAGCATATACATATATACCATCGAAAACCTGGAAGTACTAGATAGCTGTTTTGTCATAGTATGAATCTCTTCAGTAGAGCTCGTTTATGATCTTCAGACAAAGGGAATCAAACCCAGAACCTTCGATTTGGCGCGCGAATGCTTAATCTTCACGATAATGCACGACCATTTTCCATTGCTTTGGGGGAGTAACTACCTCACACCAGACACGGCTGATATATACATATATTTCTGGTTAGCGTTTTTTTAGCGGGTTAGTTTTCTACGGGCTGAGGTCGCTAACCCCATACCCAACCCTCCTCCTTTATCCGGGATTGGGACCGGCAGTAGCCCCCGGAGGGACTCCAGGCGGAGTTATATATATATATTTATATAACATCAGGTCAAATGAATATTTGCTTTTTTGCGAAATAAACAATTTTCAAGTTCTTTAAATAGCTACTGTTTAAAATGTTTACTAAAGATGTACCAAAGAACTAATGAGCTTTAAGAATAACTCAACATATTCTAAGATTAGACTTGTATTACTCATACTGTTGTGAATGAGTAGATTGGGATAATCAAAGTCTATCCATATAAAATTACAGTCAATACTTTATTTGCGAATTCTCTATTTCATCGTTCCAACATTCCTATGACAATTACTCTATGTACCCATTCTCGTTGATTTGATCT